TGTTTAAAATTATTGATTTGAGTGATGCTTATGTGACAGTCAGTTGTACCAATTTAGTAACTTAAGAAGTAAACAAAGTTTACTAGTTTTTTTTGTTACTATAGTACCTTTACCAATAAGATTTTTGTTTTAAGAAGAAAATGTAATTTTTTTTGAAAATTGTTGTAAATTTAAATGTCGATTTTCATGATTAATTAATTTTACTTAAAGATTAACTTTGAAAGTTTATGAGATTTAAATATTGCTAATTTGCAAGCAATAATTAATTATAATATAGTTCCAAATAAAAATGATAGATGGCAGTAGCATACATAACAATATTCTAATTTGTATGCAACACATTAGACAGAACACACTTTGTCAAATATGACATAATAATAGTTTATAATCGATTTGTTGATAGTAATTTTTGTTTACACAACAAATTAAAATTGATTTATAAGTGTATTATAGTATTGAGTTATACTGGTAGAGGGCAACAGTTTGCTTTTCGACGTCTCAATTTTCTGTTTATTTTCTTTGTGCGAAACCATAGGAACATTTGCTGCCAAAATATTCGAGCATCAGCGTGAAAAACAAAAGATGAACAACAATAATAAAAGAGAACGCCAACTTTCAGCTATGTGCAAATTGATGTTATTTATCGTCGAGGAGGCGGTGTTGTCTGCCAAGTGGAATATCTTATTAAACGGTACAATCGTTTCCCAAATAACCATGGTCACAGTTTCACAGTTAATTGTCTTATAGCCGTCGAGTTATGCAAACGATGAATTATGCATTTGAACCTGTTCAGCTTCTCTGAACGAATCGATGAAGTCAATATTAGTTCTCTTGGTTCAACATGTTTCCCCCACGATACATAAACTGATTGATTCAAGTTCGAAGCTCTCTGGCTTTGGCACACGTCTCGACAGGTTTCCAATTACTCCTCTCGAACAACGAAATCCGTGTACATTTTTTTGGGTATGCATATTCTTAAAGTGGAAATGATTGATGCATATGATGCAATTCTATTATAAAAAAAAAATAAGGGTTTGTGATAGGCAATTTTCTGTACGTGCAGAAGCGGGGGAGTGAAACGTTCAGCAGTTGGTATTGATGCGGTAATGGTTACGGTTACGGCGCGTAATTGGATTTGTTACCTTCAAATCCCTATGAACGACACCATTCTGATGGCAATGGTTCACCGACTCCAGGATCTGCTGTATACAGTGAGAGGCGTCCGCTTCGGAATAGAATTCCCTTGCAACGATGTCCTCGAAAAGCTCACCTCCAGTCACCCTGTCAAAAACAAAACAAAAAAAACACAAAATTCATTGAAAATCCAAACAAAACTTAATGAAAATTTTACAAACAATCTACATCAAAGCAGTCCAAGCAAACGAACGATTAATTAATCCTCGTTTACATTTTAAAATCTGAAGCTTCAACGATTATTTGATCATTTTTCATCCAATTATAATAACCTTAAAATCTTAATTAAACTATGAACAAAGAAGAAACATTATGTATATATATACCATAAGGAACAAAAAAAAGAAAATAAGTCAAAATTTTGTAATTTACTTTTCTGTCTTTTTCTTTTCTTTCTGTTATTCTATAAGAAACTCAAGGAAAGAAGAGAGAACGAAAAGAAGTCCCAATTTTCAACATTTATTCTTCGTCCTTTTCTTTCTTTTAATTGATTCTAAAGAAACTCAAGGAACAAAAAGACAAAAAGAAAATAAGTCAAAATTTCGTAATTTACTTTTTTGTCCTTTTCTTTTCTATCTGTGATTCCATAAGAAACTTAAGAAAAGAAGAGAGAAAGAAGAAAGTTCTAAATTTTGTGCTTTGTTTTTTGTCCTTTGAATCCATAAAAACTTAAGAAACGTAGAGAGAAGGAAATAAAGTCACAATTTTATACTTTTATTCTTCGTCCTTTTCTTTCCTTTAAATGATTCCATAAGAATCTTAAGGAACAAAAAGAGAAAGAAAATAAGTCAAAATTTCGTAATTTACTTTTTTGTCCTTTCCTTTTCTATCTGTGGTTCTATAAGAAACTCAAGAAAATAAGAGAGAAAGAAGAAAGTTCTAAATTTTGTGCTTTGTTTTTCGTCCTTTGAATCCATAAGAACTTAAGAAACGTAGAGAGAAGGAAATAAAGTCACAATTTTATACTTTTATTCTTCGTCCTTTTCTTTCCTTTAATTGATTCCATAAGAATCTTAAGGAACAAAAAGAGAAAGAAAATAAGTCAAAATTTCGTAATTTACTTTTTTGTCCTTTTTTTCTTTCTGTGATTCCATAAGAAACTTTAGAAAAGAAGAGAGAAAGAAGAAAGTCCTAAATTTTGTACTTTGTTTTTCGTCCTATAAATCCATAAGAACTTAAGAAACGTAGAGAGAAGGAAATAAAGTCACAATTTTATACTTTTATTCTTCGTCCTTTTCTCTCTTTTAATTGATTCCATAAGAATCTTAAGGAACAAAAAGGGAAAGAAAATAAGTCAAAATTTCGTAATTTACTTTTTTGTCCTTTTCTTTTCTTTCCGTGATCCCATAAGAAACTTAAGAAAAGAAGAGAGAAAGAAGAAAGTTCTAAATTTTGTGCTTTGTTTTTCGTCCTTTATATCCATAAGAACTTAAGAAACGTAGAGAGAAAGAAATAAAGTCACAATTTTATACTTTTATTCTTCGTCCTTTTCTTTCCTTTCATTGAATCTAAAGAAACTCAAGGAACAAAAAGAGAAGAGAAGGGATGAAAATTTAACAAAAAAATCTACATCAAAGCAGTCCAAGCAAACGAACGATTAATTAATCCTCGTTTACATTTTAAAATCTGAAGCTTCAACGATTATTTGATCATTTTTCATCCAATCATAATAAGCTTAAAATCTTAATTAAACTATGAACAAAGAACAAACATTATGTATATATAAACGAGAAGGCCACGTGTGCAAATTGAATTCGTCGTCATGGAAATGCTTCAATAAGACATTTTGTCATTGTTAAGCGTTTCCTTTGAATCACGTAATGCGAAGCTTTCACGTTATGTTGCCATGGTTATTAGTCTAAGTTAATGGCGACACGTGTTTTCGACCTTTCAATCAACGCACCGCCTCGTTGCGGCTTTCAGATCAAAGCAACCTTAGCTCTAATGTAAACTGTCTTGATACATTTGCCTTCAATGACAATAACAAAAATAACAAATACATGATGATTGATGATAAGTTTATACAAGACTTTTATCGATCTTCCTTATAAGTTTTAAGTGTAAAGTAACATTGTCATTAAAAACATTGAAAATCAATTGTATTTACGTGTTAAAACAAATGAAATATGTGAAAAAAAACAAATGGAATTATAAAGAAAAAACATTTGAATTCTACAGTTACAAACAAAAGACACATTAATTACTTGATATATATTAAAAATTAAAACAAGATATAAAAACAAAAGAAAATATTAGTGATAATAATAGAAATGTGTACTTACAAATCGAATACTAGATAATGGAAGTTTTCTTCCTGTATACTATCGTGTAGTCTCACTGAAAAAAGAAACATTTGAGAATTGAATCAGCTGAAACATGAAGATGGATCTGCGAAAGACGAGACGAGGTGCACGGAACATATGTGAATCAATAGACAGACAGAGAGAAATTGCACAAAATGATACAGACTCTTCGTTTTTTTTTTCTTTTCTTATATATTCGCACACAGCACGCTCAGTTGTAAAACTTTTTCACAGCTTTCTTAAATAATTGGATTTTCTCAACGTAAAAATTTGTACAATTTGAAATATATATTTACATGTTTCATTTTAAACGAATAATCATTGAAGTTATTATGTACAATTTTTAGAAAATTAGTAATTAATATAATTGGTTTTTTATTAAATTGAAAATGTAACTTTTAAATAAACAATTTAGTGAAAAATTCAGCATTAAGTTTGTATTTACACTATATACTATAATGGTTGTTTTGTTTGATTACTTAAGAAATTGAAATTTGTATAACATAAAGTGTATTAAGAAAATGAGAATTCTTGCTAATTTTTGCTCGTATATTTTTTTATAGAATATTTGAGAATTAGGTGTGTGTATAAACTCGTATAATATCATATTACAGTTAATTCGATATGTAAGTGAAACCTTTTAATATCGTGTGAAGGATATTACAATTTTCATTGGATCTAAATGAAAACTTGAAATCTTAATGAAAAACACTTTTATGTTCTCACTATAATCGCAATAGCTCACTAATAAGCTTGTTTCTAATTGAAAGAAATACGTCTTTTTTTTAGTTAATTTTCAGTTGATTTATTATTTTTAATTAGTCTTTCGACTTTACGTAATTATTTTTTGTTTACAGGCGAAAAACTTGCAATTATAATTTTATTTTTATTTCGCGTTTCGTCGATTGTGAAATTGTCGTGCATAACGATGGGTGAGGTGAAAAAAACACGGCACTGCGACGTAATTAAAACAAATGTTAATGCGCCTTTGATGTCTGCCCTTTTCGCCGGTGGAGGGCGTCACCCATGTTACGAACAAATGAGTGCTAGTTACTGCATCACAGCCATCTGTCTCTTTCATTCACGTGCACGTACATGCAGCAACCTCGTTTTACGCAAACATATAAAAAAGAAAATTTCAATTTCCCATTACACATAATTTCCCACCCTAACGCAAAGCGTTACGTGTTTCTCTTTATTTCGCCCATTTACATTACTTTGTGTTTTGTTTTGTTCTTTCTACTTCTTTGTTTCGTTTGTTTTTTTTCTGATTGCATATATAAATTCAACGACAACTCGAAACGAGGTAAAGAGGAAAACAAAACGAGGAGCTGAAAATCTTTAATTTCCTTTTCATCGTCTGATATTTGCATGTTATTGCATGTCGCAGCGAATTTGTATATGCAAATTGTCCGTATGCAAAGCCGGTGTTTATTCTAATTCCGCCCGTGTCGCGACAACTTCCACCTTCTTTTCCACCTACTCCAGTTTTTTATTGCTACTTTTGTCCTCTTCGTCCTTTTTTTCTTTATTAATATTTTCATTTCCTTTCTTTGAATACACCTGAAACTGAAAGCAATTTTGTAATCTGTTTCTTTTTTGTTGTAATTTTCTCAAAAATTCAATTTTTTATCATTTTCTATCGATTTCTTTGATTCCACCTGGAATAGAATTTCGTTTTCATCATTTTCTTTACTTTCTTTGATTCTATAGCAAAACTCAAGGAACGAAGACAGGAAAAAATAGTTGTACTTTGTTCTTCCTTCTTTTTTTCCTCTCTCTTTCTTTAATTGCATATGAAAACTCGAGGAATGAACAGAGAAAAGAAGAAAATTGATTTTGTCTGTTTGTTATTCGATTTTCTTTGCATTCCATAAAAAATTCAAGTACTGAAAGAGATTCAATTTTATCCTTACATTCTTGTCACTTTCTATCTTTCCATTGAGAAATGAAAAAAGTCCCAATTTTGTGCTTTTTTTCATTCCATCGATTCCAAGAGAATCTCAACAAAGTCCCAATTTTTGTAATTTGTTCTTTGTCCTTTTCTTTTCTCTAGTTGATTCCATAAGAAACTCAAGAAACGAAGAGAGAAAGAAGAAAGACCTACATTTTGTACTTTGATTCCATTTTTTCGTCCTTTGATTCCATAAGAACTTAAGAAACGTAGAGAGATAGAAATAAAGTTTTTTATTTTAATTGATTCTAAAGAAACTCAAGAAACAAAAAGAGAAAGAAAATAAATCAAAATTTTGTAATTTACATTATTGTCCTTTTCTTTTCTTTCTGTGATTCCATAAGAAACTAAAGCCAAGAAGAGAGAAAGAAGAAAGTCCTAAATTTTGTACTTTGTTTTTCGTCCTTTGATTCCATAAGAACTTAATAAACGTAGAGAGGAAGAAATAAAGTCACAATTTTGTACTTTTATTCTTCGTCCTTTTCTTTCCTTTTATTGATTCTAAAGAAACTCAAGTAACAAAAAGAGAAAGAAAATAAGTCAAAATTTCGTAATTTACTTTTTTGTCCTTTTCTTTTCTTTCTGTGATTCCATAAGAAACTCAAGAGAGAAAGAAGAAAGTCCTAAATTTTGTACTTTGTTTTTCGTCCTTTGATTCCATAAGAACTTAATAAACGTAGAGAGGAAGAAATAAAGTCACAATTTTGTACTTTTATTCTTCGTCCTTTTCTTTCCTTTCATTGATTCTAAAGAAACTCAAGGTACAAAAAGAGAAAGAAAATAAGTCAAAATTTCGTAATTTACTTTTCTGTCCTTTTCTTTTCTTTCTGTGATTCCATAAGAAACTCAAGGAAAGAAAAGAGAAAGAAGAAAGTCCTAAATTTTGTACTTTGTTTTCTTTTGTCCTTTTCTTTTCTTCCATTGATTCCAAACAAAACATACGAAACGAAGAGAGAAAGAAAATGAGTCCTAAATATTGAAATTTGTTCTTCATCCTTTCCTTTCCTTTCATTGATTCACTAAAAAAACTCAAGAAACAAAGAACAAATCTTTCTTTATCGTCCTTTTTGTATTCTTTCAATTTTTCTGTAAGTCCATTTGAAACTCAATAAACAAGAAAAGAAACCCCAATTTTCTAAGAAATTAGACTCAATTTTGTACTTTAATCCTCGTCCTTTTTCTCCTTTCATTAACTTTATATAAAAACTCAAGGAACAAAGAGAGAAAAGAAGACCGAAATTGCCTTTTTTTTACATTATTTTATTCCATCTACAATTCAAAGAACGAAAGGAAGAAACCCGATTTTATCAATTTCTCTCTTTCAATACATTTGAATCGCAAGAAACTGTAAGAAATGGTGAAACGAAATATCCAATTGCTTCACACGACGCGCAAATCGAATAAATTACGCCCTTAAATATTTCACGTCCACAAAACACGTCAATCGATCCGTAAATGAAATAAAAAAAAAATCATTTTCCGATATATCAAGGTGAAATTTCATAACACTTTTGCGTTTGTCCTAATTCACAATCACACCCTAATCAAAAAAAAAAGATACATCATTAATAGATTTTCTATTGATCATAGTGAACTATGTAATAACTTTGACACAGATTTTGTTTCTATAACAAATTATTATTTTGTTTCCACATTTATTGATTGCAGTTAACTATGTAATAAATGTGACATGTTTATAGGAAAATTTGCAAACAAATGAAGATTTGTTTAAAATATTTTTGTTTCCTTCTTAAATAAAGTTGTTCAATTTCATTACCTATAAAAATCACTCAATTGTTTAATAATTTATTGATCGCAGTAAACTATGTACAAAATATGACATACTTTTGTTTCTACGTGATAAGCTTTCATTGACAATTTGTCAATGTCAGTTTTGACATCGAACTACTTGATATTTAATTTAAAAACTTTATTTGATTCATTTGCAGAAAAACAAAGTATTTTTACTAAATTTTTAATCTGAATTTAAGTAAATCTATTTAAATTTGTCATAATTCTAGAACAAAAGTATTTCAATAAAGTTTCTTTAAATTATTTTCATAAATATCAAAGACAAAAAAAAAAGAAGTAATACTTTTCAATCAACCTTCACACACGTGACATTGATCGTGTCACATAAATAATAACTCGAACAAATTTTCTCTTTCTGAACTTTTGCTGTAATTTCCACGTTCTCCTTCTTTTACTTTTCCTGATCCAATCAACATTTACCAATCCATTTTTAACGAGAGAAATCCCCCGATTACACACATGAAACTTGAATGCGGAGCTCGGACCAATTGGAAATGAATAATCCAGAGTTTCATGAATTACAAAAAAAAAACAAAAAAAAATCTACTCGATTCGACTAAATTTAGAGAGCGCCCACATCGATCCTGAATCCTTAACACTCGCAGGACGATTAAAAACTAAATCTCTTTTACTTACAGTAGTTACACATAAATAATATTATTTACATATGTCATACACAAACCAATTTAATTAATAAATCAAATAAACAAATGAATGCGTAACAGAAGAGGCGTAAATAAATTTAGAAAGAAAAACAAAAACAAAAGAAAATAAGATGAAAAAGTAGATGAGTCATGAAATCGTGGATGATGCGATGCTACTTGTAAACAAAAGACTAGTGATGATAAACCAATATGGTGGGTGAGTCATATATATATATATATTTACATAGTAAGTAACAAATTGGGTGAAGCATGCTTTGAAACAGGTGACAACTAGAAATCATTACTTAAACTCGACAACAACAACAAAAGAAAACAAACAAAAGAACGGTTAAACGAACAATTTGGATGAGAGAATGCACAAAACAAAAATTAAAAAAAAAATAAAAGAAGAACGTAAACAAATTCTAATTAATTAATTAAGGAAAGATGCTAAAATCAGTCCGCTTATTTATTATTTACTTAGTAATGGTTACCTAAATGCTTGAGAACATCTGGGTTGCAAACTTGGCATAATGAGAAAATGGAAAGAGAGCAATTAATACACAGTGTATTCCCAACAACAAAAAAAAACAACAATGATACGAAACAAAAGAACACGTTTAAGGGGGGTGGGGGTTAATTATAATGACAGAACGAGAAAATAAACAAAAAAAAACAACAACAACAGAAACAAAAGGTTAACGGTTAATTTATTTTAATGGGTGATAAATAATAAATTATTAGTTTTTTTTTGTGATTGAGAGAGAGTTTTTTTTTTAATTAACGAGAAACTATAAATAAAATTAGAGAGAATAAATGAAAGAGGTTTTATATAATTATTATTATTATATATACGTAATGATTAACTAGTATTTAAGTATTTTTTTTTTCGGTGTTTGTGTATGAGGTGCTTCGAGTGATCGAGTTTTTTGTTGTGTAACTTCGAAGATTGACTTACCTATATTAGGGTGTTGCAGCTTCCTGCAGATCCTCGCCTCGCGTTCCAGCTTTTGGAAATCTGGAAAATAAAAAAAGAGAAAAATAATCAATCAATCTATCAATGATTTCCTGAGAAATAAACGTTCAACAGCTTCCTTTATTTATTCCAAAGTCATGAGAATTCGTACTTTAAACTAAACAAAATTTAATATAGTAATCATAGTTCATTTGCTAAAACAAAAATCTTACAAAATTTTGTAAATGACAGTTGTCGATGTGATCGTTCTTATAACGATTGCAACAGTTACATCACAATTGTAAACAAAAGAAACCACTTGATCTTAAAAAGTTGTCTATCTAAACTTAATTTCTATAACATTCCATATTTTCCAAAACTGTTCAAAATTTGATGTGTAAAATAGTTTTTTCTTTAGATGTAAATAATCAAATGAACTACTTTTAATTGACACTATTTTAGTCAATTTTAAAAGTAGTTCATTTGTAAATTTTTGGAAATATATTTTTATTTGTTTGACATTTGCTAACATATTTTTTTTCCTCAAATATCAAGTGTATTTTTTAAAGGTTGTTCATATATTAAGAAAGTAACTTTATGCAAATCTTTCATAATTTCAGATTGATTACTAAAATAAGATTACTTACTAATAACATTGACAGTTGGGTGTCAAAATGACTTATGTCATCTTAGATGTCGCTGTTATAGTTTTTATGACAATTGCAACAGTTACATCACAATTGTAAACAAAAGAAACCATTAAACCTCAAAAAGTTATCTATCTAAACTTAATTTCTATAACATTCCATATTTTCTAAATTTGTGTCAATTTTACACCAAAACTGTTCAAAATTTACTGTGTAAAATAGTTTTTTCTTTAGATGTAAATAATCAAATGAAATACTCTTAATTGACACTATTTTAGTCAAATAAAAGTAGTTCATTTTTAAATATATTTTTATTTGTTTGACATTTGCTAACATATTTTTTTTTCCTGAAATATAAATTGTATCTTTTAAAGGTTGTTCATATATTAAGAAAGTAACTTTATGTAAATCTTTCATAATTTCAGGTTGTAATATCTTGTAAGTGACAGTTGCCTGTCAAAATGACTTATGTCATCTTAGATGTCGCTGTTATAGTTTTTATGATAATTGCAACAGTTACATCACAATTGCAAACAAAAGAAACCATCTGACATTTGAAGTTCACTTTTTGAATATGACATTATTATATTTTTTTTCTTTCTCTATTTTTCAGAATATCATTTATTTAATTTAGTTCAATTTTTGCACTGATTTCTGTAATATTCCATATTTTCAAAATTTTTGTCAATTTTACAGCAAAACTATTAAAAATTTGTTATATAAATTGTAAAAAAAATCAAGTGCTAATTAAAAGTAGTTCATTTGTCCATTTGTATTTTTCTGACATTTCAAATTTGACATTTAATTTTTTTTTCTAACAAAACTTTTCGAATATTATTTAGATTTTCATATAGAAGTGTAAAGTGCGTATGTAGTGTGAAAAGTGTCTCGGTGAATTAAATTCTGGCGTCAAAATAGAAATTACCGAAGGTTAATCTCACTACGCCGGTCGTTTGTTTTTCCTATATCGAATCGAGCCGCCGCCGCCTGCCAAGAATGTACTTACATATTGTAAACGGAAAATATTTCGATTTTCTTATTTTGATGTTGGAAAAAAAACAAGAACCAAGAAGAGGAGAAAAAAATGAGAAAACTAAAACAGAAAATAAAAGGAAGCTTAGATTAGAACAATCTATAAGCTTAAAATTAAAACGAAAAGTTTGATTCTGTATATTAATATCTATAATCGTTTAAATTGTGATAAGTTTTATTGTATTTATTGATATTAACGTTTGCGAGCGGAGCGGAGAGAACTAATAAATACGTGATTATGAAAGAGAAAACTATTTTCGGACGTCTTCCGTAATAACCGGTCACAAACAACTGCAGGCGCGAAACAAAAACATGGTTGTTGTGTATACGTCGCGAATCGCAAAAAAAAAAACGAAGATACCCTTGCAAACGAACTTTCTTTTGTTTTTCCCCCGCACAAACACACAAAAACAAAATTAGAACTGTCAAGTATCTGTCAAATACGCATAGAAATTACAGATATTTATATAAATTTAATTAAAAACTCATATTTATTAATTAATTACAAAAAGAAAACTTTGATTTAATGATTTAAATAGTTCCAATTGTTGCGACATCTATATTGACAAATCGTAATTAAATTTGACAGCTGGTTCCACTATCAGTAAAGAGTGTTGCATAATTACATCAATATTGGAAACAATTAGAGATGCACACAAAGTTTATAATTTATAGTCTTTAGTAATAAAGATAATAATTTAGTGTCGACATGTAAAAAAAACTCACATTTATTAACTCAAGAATATAAAATGACGTAACAAATTTTGACAGCTGTCATTACTACAATCTTTGTACATGGTTATAAACTTACAAGCAATTCAGAATTCATGGAATTTTATCATTCAATTAACGTTTTTCCTGAAATATCAATTGTATCTTGTTAATATATTAAGAAAGTAACTTTATATAAATATTTCATAAATTCAGGTTGTAATATCTTGTAAGTGACAGTTGGCTGTCAAAATAACTTATGTCATCTTAGATGTCGCTG